AAAAAAAAACTAAAAAAATTTCTAAAGAATTTTTAACACATCAGTGCTCGCGCATCAAATCCTAACGCCAGTGCTCGCGTGGGGTATTTTTTCACCCCACCATTGATTTAACATTAAGCGATTTCGAACTTAGAAATTTTTTTTGTATAATCTGGGGTAGAAATATACCCCACGCGAGCATTCATGTGTTAATGAAAAAAAAGAGAGTGATTATAAAAAAATTTGGAAATTTTTCAATCAAAGAAAATTGAAAAAAAAGGAAAAGAATTCTAAGAAACATAACAATAGTGAAAATGTTAAAAACATTATTTGGAAATCATCGTCATTTGGAAAAAAAAAATTATTTTGAATTCTAATGAATAATTGATGACGATGATTAGGAATATTCCTTCGACAATAATCAGTGTGTGTTTTCTTTGTGATTATGTTCGACATGACAGATATAAAAGGAAAAAGAAAGAAGAATAAGAAAAAAATTTCTAGTGAAGAATGAAGAAATGTTATTGAACAAAGAATTTTCGGGTCTCTGCTCCTTCTGTTCTTTCAATTTTGTGATTCTTTCAATTCAGATTTGGCGGATGTTTAAAAAAGCACTGAAAATTTGAAGATTGATTTGAATGTTTGTTTTTAAAATCAATTTTCAAGTTTTCAAATAATTTACATATCTAAAATTGGATTTTGGAAAAACAAAAAATCATTTTCAACATAAAAATCAAATTAATTTAATCATGTCAATGAAGAAAACAAAAAATTAATAATGAAGTGTGTTTTGATTTCCAAAAAGAATTTCAGAAGAAGATTACAAATATATTTCAAGATGATCGAAAATTTTGAATTTCGATTGATTTTTTTTCTTGAAGAAAATTCTTTTTTTTCGCCGTTGATTTCAAATGATGATGAAATACTAAATAACTTCTTTTTTTTTCTTTCTTTGATTTCATCACATTAAAATCAAAAGTTTATTTTTTTCAACAAAAAAAAAAACGGAAAAATTCTTCAAAATAATGAGGAAATTCTTCTTCATTTTTAAGTAGACTTTGATTAAGAATCTTGTTGTTGTTGTTGTTGTTGTTGAACATCAAGATGTTGTTCCTATTTTATTTACTTCTTTCAAATTACCAACATCATCGCCTCATCAACATTGAGTGTAAAGCACCAAAAAAAAAAAAAAAAAAAAAAAAAATCCATATGAATTACGATCGATCGATNCAATCAAAGAAAATTGAAAAAAAAGGAAAAGAATTCTAAGAAACATAACAATAGTGAAAATGTTAAAAACATTATTTGGAAATCATCGTCATTTGGAAAAAAAAAATTATTTTGAATTCTAATGAATGATTGATGACGATGATTAGGAATATTCCTTCGACAATAATCACTGTTTTTTTTTGATTTTGTTCAACATGACAGATAAAAAAGAAAAGAAAGAAGAATAAGAAAAAATTTCTAGCGAAATGAAGAAAGGTTGTTGAACACGAGAATTTTCGGGTCTCTGCTCCTTCTGTTTTCAACTTTGTGATTCAGATTTGGCGGATGTTTTCAACAAAAAAAAAAGCACTGACGACTTGAAAATTGATTTGAATGTTTGCTTTTAAAATCAATTTTCAAATATTCAAATAATTTACATATCTAAAATTGGATTTTGGAAAAAACAAAAATCATTTTCAACATAACAATCAAATTAATTTAATCATGTCAATGAAGAAAAGAAAATTGATAATCAAGTGCGTTTTGATTTCCAAAAAGAATTTCAGAAGATTACAAATATATTTCAAGATGATCGAAAATTTTGAATTTGAATTTCGATTGATTTTTTTTTCAAAAGAAATTTTTTTTTTGAAGATTTCAAAGATTTCAAATGATGATGAAATACTAAATAACTTAAAATCAAAAGTTTATTTTTTTCAACAAAAAAAAAAGAAAAAGAAAAAGGAAAAATTCTTCAAAATAATGAGGAAATTCTTCTTCTTTTTTTTAAGTAGACTTTGATTAAGAATCTTGTTGTTGTTGAACATCAAGATGATGTTCCTATTTTATTTTCTTCTTTCAAACCACCAACATCATTGCCGATATCATCGCCTCATCAACATTGATTTCGAGTGTAAAGCACCAAAAGAAACAAGAATCCATATGAATTACGATCGATCGTTGGTTTGATTATTATTATTATTATTATCATCATTTAAAATAATGAGCATTGATGAACAACAACAATTTTGGCAAAATTTCTCTAAAAAAAATTCAATCGATTCTTTGTTTTCCGCTATATTAAGATGATAACCAGAATCGTTTTGTTGTTGTTTGTTTGTTTCCACATTTTTGAATCGAATTTTTTCAATCATTATTTTCTGGTTTCATTCATTCGATTTGATTCTGGTTTTTTTTTTGTTTTAAAAACAAATTCATTATGGCTGTTGTGTTAATTGTTTTTCGAAACATCAAATATAACGACAATGACAATTGATGGAAACCAAACCATATATGTAAAACCATATAATGAGAGCAATGAAAATAAATCGATACTATCGATACTTATTTTTTTTCGGAATTCGATTCCGAGCATAACCGAAAAACAACGACAACGACAAAGACAATCATCTTTGATGATAATGATGATAATAATGATGATGATAATGATCAAACCGAAGAAATAGAAAAAATCGATTCATTCAAAATGAAATATATATTCAAATATCTAATGAAATTATCATTTGATGTAAATTTCTTTCTTCTTCTTCGTTTTTTTCGCTTGGAATATCGAGAAAAATTTGAAAACAAAAAAAAGGAGTGATAAACGAAGCAAAAAAAAAAAGAATAAACAAAAAAAGAATTTTTATTTTCATTCAAATTCAAATGATTATTATTAGTATTATTATTATTTGAATTGTTTGTATGTTGTTGTTGTTGTTGTTGTTGTCGATTCTGTTTATTTTCATTATTTTTTCTTTTTAAATTAAATTTATTCAATGTTTTTGTTGTTGTTGTTGTTGTTGATGGTGTTGTTGTTGTCGATGATGATGAAGATGATGATGATGATAATAATAAAACTTTAGTTAAAATACGATTAGATTTTATAATGGAAAAAAATTTCGATTGACATGATTTTGTTGTTGTTGTTGTTGGTGTTGTTGTTGTTGTTGATAATGATGTTGATGATGATGATGATGATGATGATGATGGTAATGGTAAAGTTTTAAAATTTCCATCATTAATATCAATAGCTGTATCATTTTGATTGTTATTGTTGTTGTGGTTGTGGTTGTTGTTGTTGTTAATCTGATTATCCATATTGACAATAATAGTATCGATTTTTTCTGATTTTGTTTGACATTTTTGTTTGTCATTAATATTTTTCAATGATAATAATAATAATGATGATGATGATGGTGATGATAATGATTGTTGTTGTTGTTGTTGTTGTTCCATTTTTAATAATTGATCATTTTTCTTTAATCGTCCATTGTATATTTTGGATTTATGATTATGATTATTATGATTATTATTACAAGAATAACGATTAAATAATTGTGGATTAAAATAATTTACAGCAACTGTCATTGAAAATGAACGTTTATTTTTCATTGTTGTTGTTGTTGTTGTTGTTTGTGATTTTTGTTGTTGTTGAGATGCTTTTCGATAATGCTTTTTACAATGATAATTACCATTATTTTGACAATTTTTCATTAAACTATTATCATTATCATTATCGGTAATTATAATTGTTGTTTGTTGTTGATTACTATTATTATTTAATGTTATTTGATGATTACTATTATCAGCACTAATACCACCGATGCTACAACCACAATTATTATTACCATTACCTGCACCACCACCACCAATACCGATTGTAGTTGCTAAATCACCATCAATATTATGACGATTATTATTATGAATATTATTTAATGTATTACTTGTGACACCTTGACCACAACCACCACCACCACCATCATTTCTGCCGCCGCCGCCACCACCATTATTATTATTAATCGATAATGAACGTGGACAACAACGATATCTACAAAAACAACGTTGTAGAACAAAACGAAAACCATTACGAAATCTTTGATTCATCCAAATATAAATAAATGGATTATATGATGCATGTGACATTGCTAACCAATGACATGCAACCCATACATATTCAATATGATCATATTGATAAATATCTGGATAATGATCACCAATTATAATGAATATATTTAATGGTAACCAACATAATGTGAATGCAACCACACAGGTAATCATCATTTTTACCATCTTTAAACAAAAATGGGTTAGAAAAAAGAAAAAGAAAAATCATTGTTTTCAATCATGATTAATTAATCATTTTTTTTTTAATTATCTACTACTAATTGTAAATTACCTTTCGTTTAGATGCAGCAATACGTGCATCACGTCCACCATCACGTTCACCTGGTGTTTGTCTACCCCAAATCATTAATCCAATACGTGTATATGTAAAAACCAATACAGTAAATGGTAAAATATATTGTAATATCATTAATAATACTGAATATGATGTACGATATTCTTGATTATTATTCCAATCTTCTTGACAAATGAATGCATTATTATTATTATTATTATGATCATTATCATTATCATTATCATTAAAATTATTAACAAATGATTCCGATTCTTTTGTCATCCATAAAATATTTTCATTACTATTGAATATTAATATATTGAATAAGTTAAAAAGGAAACAAAACAAAACAGAAGAAAAAAATGAATTCACTTTTTTTTCGTGATTCTTACCTTAATGATGAATTTTTTAGCTTTACAATTTCTGAATGTTTTAATATTTTTGTCGATAAAATATTTGATAAATCAAATGATAATAATGATGATGATTGTTCGTTTGATTCATTTATTCCATCTAAATCATTTGAATATTGTTCATTATTATTATTATTTGATTGTTGTAATGATTGATCATTATTTGATTTAAATGTTGAATTTACGGTTGATACAAATGATATAGGCGATGATGATGATGATAATGAATGCGATACATTTGTTTGATCAATATCAACAACCATAATATTATTATTATGATCGATATTTGATGTTGATGATGATTGTAACATTAATCGTGATAATAAGGCAGTTGGTAATGGTGTTAAAAGGGCTACTATCCATACAAATAAAACCAAATATTGACTATGACGTTTAGTCATACGTGGCCTTAATGGATAAATAATGGCAATATAACGATCAATACTGATTGCAACCAATGTATATGCCGAAATAAATACAAATACTGCTTGAGCATATGATACTAAACGACACATTAATGAACCAAATGGCCATGCATGGAATAATAGATTAGCTGTAAATGTAAATGGTATACATAATATTGCCATCAATAAATCACCAATAGCTAAATTTAATATAAATAGATCGGTTACTGAACGACGATTTCGGCGAAAATTTACAATCAAATAGATAACAATACCATTACCACCGATTGCGGCTAATGATACTGTTGAATAAAGTATTGAATATATTATATTCTGTATTGTAAAATCGGATATCGATTCAAATAATTCAATAGTATTATCATCATTATTCATATTTTTTGTAAAATTTTCATTTTGATCATTATTTATCATCATTGCCGCTGTTGATAATGATGATGATGATGATGATGATAATGATGGTGTTAATGTTGATGTTAATATTGATGATAATGAATCAGCAATAATCGATCCTGTATCGACAAAATTTTTCGCTGATTCTGCCATTGATAAGGATTCAACAGTAAAAACCTGAGTCATTATTTATCATATTTGGAATCGAAATTCATATTTTTCAAGGCTATTGGTTATAAGCAAATCAATACGTGAATTTGATGTATAATAATCGATTGTCAATGGTGGTATACTATATTTTTTCTATTTTAAAAATAAAATTAAACAAAATAAAAATATGATGAGAAAATGAATTATCAGCAAAAAGCAATCATAAAGTGTAAGAAGAAATTGTAACAATACAAATCTATCCACTACAACAGAAAATTAGATTCTCCAAAGACATTTAAGAAATTTTATTTTTTTCCGTTGTAATCTAATTTGTTTAATTAAGAAACAAAGGTAAAATTGGCAATTATCCAAATTAGTCAATAAAATCAATAAATAAATTCCTGTTAGAATTACTATTAGAAAAACGAATGATGATGATGATGATTGAAAAAATGGACAAAATTAGCTGTATTTTTTCTTTGTTTCATACAGGAATCCAAGGATGGAATCCAATTATGTTGATGATCGGAATTTGTTTTGTTTTTTTTCGATTCAAAAACTGATGAATCTAATGTACCAATTTACACGTAAACAAAAACAGAAAAAAGTTTTTCAATTTAAATTTACGATGTAGTAAACATGAATACCAAGAAAACAAAAGCAGAAGAAAGAATATTCCCTTCTTTACACTTTTCTATTTTATTGTTGTTGTTGTTCAGTTCAGTTCAGTTCAGTTCAGTTCAGTTCAACAACAAAAAATGAATGAAGAATGCATCCATAAATATGATGTGTATGTTTTATTTTTTTCAACAATCTTCAATAAATAATGAGAAAAATATGATTGTTTCATTTGCCTTTGTAACATCCATTTGTAATCATTTTTTTTGTGTTTTGTTTGGTTGATAACAATGATCATCCAGATTGTAATAATAAAAAAATATGATGGAAATATGATGTTATTTTTTTCCCCGGTTATTTTTTTCATTCTCTCATTTGTTGTTTTGAATTTCAATGTTTTTTCTTTGTTGTTTTGTTTGCAAAAATTGAAACATCATTATCATTTCAATGGCATTTACACAATGATTTTAGCATCTAAAATTTCATCATTTTGTTGTTGTTTTTGTTGTCGGTAGGAATATCATTTTTCATATTATTTTTTCTCTTCCTAATTTGTTTTCAAGTTTGTTGTTGTTCTTTTCATTTTGATAATTCTTTGAAAAAATAGGTCTTTTTTTTATTTCACAATGAAACTAATTTGAAAAATGTTACAAAAATGTTACATCAAAGACATTTACTCGAAAAATTAATTATTAATCAATGATGAAATAATGTGTTTCTTCTTCTGCTAATGATATCAAATAATTTGACAGATTTTGTTTCCAAAAAAAGCAAAAAACAAAAAGCAAAAAAGAAAAGAATCCCGAATCAAAGGTAATTTTTGATTTTAAAGTTGAATAACAAAAACATTTGGAAAACATGGAATTTTTAACAAACAAAACAAACGACACCCACCATCATCATCATCATTTTACATTATTGGTGATACATATTAGGTTTCACATTTATAGATTTGAAAAAAAAGAAAAAAAAAATTTCGATTGTAAAGAATTTTGATTTAATTTAAAATTAATGTTTTTCTATTTTTTTCCTCTCTATTTCAACACAAATATGGCTTTGTTTTTTTCAGGTGCATTTTTTCGTTTTTTCCTTTTCTTCTTCATCTTCACATATAAACATTGAATTGCATTGTCAAAAAAAAAGAGAAAAGAATTTTTCACCTAACATGTTTTTCTGTCAAATTATACAAATAATTTTTTTTTTTACAAAGTTTAGTTCGCTACAATTGTTATATTTTCATTGTTATATTCAAGTAAATTCTAATTATCATTTTATTACAATTTGATAATAATGTTTTTTTTGAAACATACAAAATTTTACTAATTTCCGAATAATTTTTCCTCAAAAATTTATCTGTTTATTTGTTAAGGTAGAATAGAAAAAAATTCACCTTTTTTTACTCCTGAAAATCAAACAAACATTAAATTCTCATTCATCAAATTAGTTTTTTGTTGTTGTTGAATCAAAAATTGTAACAATTCAATACTGATTTGATATTCAAATAAACATTTGCATTGGAATTTATGTTTTTTCTTTTTTTTTCTCATTTGACATTCTTGTTTAATTGAAAATCATGTTTTTTCTTCTTTAATCTGATCAGCATTTTATATTTCCTTTCAATTTTTTTCCGCTTTTTCCCATAACAACAACAAGAGAAAAATTAACAGGAAAAAATACATGTTACAAATTAAAAGTGCTTTATGAAGTGAATCAAAAGTACACCTTTTTTTTATATTTATTTATTTGATTGGAAAATGAATTTTGGCAGTGAAGCCAACATTTTCATTTGATTTTCTAATAATAATGAAAATTTCTAATGAAAACAAAAAAACAATTCAACCGAAATTGAATCAATAATTTTTTTTTTAATATATCGATATATGTTTCAATCAATTTGTATTTTTCTTCTTCTAAATTTTATTAGTTTGTCAAATAATAAAGATTTTCAACAGAGAGAAATTGCAGAATTGCACTAGAAAAAAATGAATATATATGATTTCAATTTGTTCATTGAATTATATATTGTACATTTTTGAGAATTGTCAATGAAAAACAAGAAAAGAAAACTCCCCGGAAAAACATGTTCAAAAATGAAAATTATGGATCATTTTTTTTTTTGATATTTAACAATAATTTCGGTGTATTTTTGGAATGATTCTTTTCTTTATGGATGTTAACATTTGTAAAATGTTAAATGTTTTTTTTCCTCCAATTGAAAAAAGAAAGTAAGTAAGAAAGAAAATAAATTACATCAGAATTTTCAATCATTTTAAAGTGCGAATAAATGGAAAGAAGGAAAAGAAAAAATAGGAAATTAGGTTGCCATTGGCTATTTGATCTATAAATAACATTATCTATTTTCCGTACAATAACAACGACAACGACAAAAGAAGAGGAAATGTTTATGATAGACAAAATAACAATAATAAACAACAATAACAACAACAAGTGATGAAAGTGCCAAAAAAAAAATAACTTCTAATGGAAAATAATGATTATTATTATTATTATTATAACACTACTCATTATAGGAAATTCAACACACACACACAAACTTTTACACATTGACAAACATTAAATAGAGATACGAAAAGAAAAAGGGGCAAAAAAAAAAGAATACATTGAATATTGGAAATCGTATAGTAAAATTATATGATGATGTGAACGATGAAGAAGGCAAAAAAAAAAAAATTTTAGACAATAAATCGAAACTGAATGAACAGTGATGATGATGATGATGATAATGATGGCGACAATGATGGCCAAAATTCTCTATGATCACATAAAATATTCATGACTTTTTTATTTTTGGTTATTGTTGTTGATTCACTACAATCAATTGATGAAATGATGTTTTCTTTTTCTTTTTTTTTTTTGTGTGTGGGGAGTTGAAATGACGATAACAACAACAACAACAGCTAAATATAGATGATAAAAAAAATGTTATAAGTATAGTTATAGTGTAATTTACACACACACATGAAAGTTATACTGGAAATTATGCATTGCTTTTTTTATTCTATCTTGTTGTCGTTGTTGGATTCTAGATGTAAATAAAAGCAAATTGAAAAGTAAAAGATTGATGGTGATCCAACGACAACAACAACAACAACAACAAATATATCAATGAAAAAGTAAACACATTTCAATGAACAAACTAACTAACAATATTGTCATCATCATCATCATCATAATGATGATTTCTTTATTCGGAATTTCGTTGTTGTTGTTTGTTTGTTTCATTCCACATTATCTCATTCAATATGATAAGATTCTATTTTTTTTCTTGAAGTAAATCTTCTGGTGAATAGATAAGGGGTTTAGCATCTTTGTTTTTTTTTAAATTTTTGGTTCAGATAAGTCAAACAAAGGTTAAATTCGTATACGTATGTGATATTGAATTCATTATTTTTTTTTGGAAATATTTTCATTTTCCCGGGAAATTTTCTCAAAAAATTTAAATAATGTAAAAAGGAAAAAAACTAAATCATTATTATTATTATTATTATTTTGACATTGTTGATGATGATAAAAGTAAATGAAATTAGAATGTCGACCATTTTGGTCATTATAATTTTTTTTTTGGTTTTTTTTCAAATTCAATTCAACATTTAGAGAAAAAAATTTTGTCTTCTCTTTTTGCTCAATGTAGGTCCCAATTTCATTTTTTTTTCATTTTTATTTCAAATGCAAAATATAAAAAAAAGTATTTTTTTTTTCTCAATTGCTTCAAGCTGTTTTGTATATATGTCACTCTTTTTTCACTAGCTATCATTCTTGTCGTTTTGTTTTCATAACAAAAAAAAAATATAAAAAAATATCAAACGGAATCAAATTTCATCCGAATGTCATTATAGAATAAATAAAAGGGTTAAAAAATGAATCTAAAAATATAATTGGAATTTTTATTTTTTTGCTACTTTTCATTTGTTTGTTTGTTTGTTTATTTATCTGTTTGGTTGGTTGGTTGGCTGTTTGGGTTGCTTTAATGTAAATACAAATTTTTCTTTTCAACTCTTTTTTTTTTATTCACCACACTTTTCATCAATCAAAAAGCAAGCAATTCATATATTGAAAAATTCCAGAATTTTTTCGAAATTATATTTATTTTTATTTATTTTCAATAAAAACAAAAACAAAAAAAACAAAATATTCAATGTTTTCATACAAGGAATTTGAAATATTTATGAATGGAATGGGAAAAAAAAACTTTTACTGAAAAAACTGTATATGAATTCATATTTATATTTATTGTAAATAATCTCTCATTTCAAAAAAAATGATAATGATAATGATCATCATTGAAACTTTTCATTTGTTTTTATGGTGTTTTTTATTGTTGTTTTTTGTTTTTCAATTTCAAATCACATGATGATGATGATAATAATGACGATAAGGATGTTAATCATTTTTTTATAACTTGAAATAATTTAATGAT